TCAAATATTCTTGAGTATAGCGCGCCACTCCCTGGATGCTATTGGAAGTAACAAAAGCTGCCTTCAATTAAACTACAAACCTTGAATTCACAATCGAGATTGTCTTGAAAATAATGCCACATCGACTAATAGTAAATAAAATTAATTTATGCATAAAATGTGTTTGATAACTTACATTAGCATACTTCTCCACTGCGGCTAAAACGCTCCCAAGTAAGCGACGGTGTATTTAAATCCCAACACAAACCACATTAACACGCCGATTTTAGTCTATGCCCCAAATAACTGCTTTACTAAACCTAAACGCAATTTTGAGGTAACATAATGACTCTAAAGTGTTAGTGCAACGAGTTAGGTCGCTTAATGTGGGACTAACAGCCCAAATTAGCAGTTAAAGTAAACATTCGATGAACGCTAACTAGCTTAGCATCGAGCTAACAAAACAATGAGACTTGCCTGATATGCCAGCACTGTAATAATACATATAAGAGCATGATTAGACCCCGTTAATTTTATTTCTGGGAATATTTTTTAAAGATACTGACATTAAACGATAATAAAACGAGTATCATACTGGGCCTAACCTGCAGCTAACTGCGAGATTGCTAGGCGACACCCGGAAAAGCCCTGAGCAGGAGGGATCACGGTTAGCATATTCACGCAGTACACTAAATACTCACTTTATTCTCTTCTGCTTTGAGGTTTGTCCATCACCAATGTCCAATGCAATCCAAAAATGTCATATTGCCGAAAATTGTCCGAAAATATTACATTACAATTCAAGATGGCGGCCGTTTCCAGATCAACAGAGACGACAGGACAACCGAGCCGCCTCAGAAAGAAATAGACCCAAAATGTTTCAATTATCGGCGCTAATTTGACGCTCACTCCTTCTTTCTACCCCCTGAACTGTCCATATAATACCGTCGCACAAAGAAAAGGTGGCTGGACGTTGATCAAGCGCTATAAACGCCTCGACAAACTCGGATGTATACAAAGACAGCGTTGTTGTTGTACCCCTTTAAATGTGCACTTGCGGCTCAGCGCGCTTGTGTTTCCGTGGAGCAGCAACAGCATCCCACCACACCATTGCCTCTCACAAATGTACACTTTTCTGCTTTAACTTTTCTTCTAGCTACTTCTAAAACCAATAACATGTGCAGGTATATGGAACAATGAAAAACAAATAATTTTTGGAAGTCGCACATGTAGAAATGGTAGGCGACCCTAATCAATAATAAGCTATAGCTAATAAATGTGTTGCAAAATATCTCTCATTATTTGTTTTGCACTGAAAACTTTTCTGAAATGTGTAAGTATATATATTTTTCCATCAATTGTCTGTTTTATGCAGATACTCATAACTAACGTTTTTAGTAGTGAAAATATAGGCTACTGAGTAGGCTATTGTGCCAAAAGTCTGTTGTTGTGAATCGTGACGTTTTGAAAGTGGAGCACTGAAAAGTCTCTTTCAGGCATGACCCATTCCTTTTCAACATTATCTTTACTAATTTAAAAAATACCAACACTAAAGAACAATAAAGAAAAACAACTGGACAAAATAAAACAACAAATACACATTTAAAAACAAATACAACAACAAAAAAACAGTTTATGCATGCATACATACATCAGAAGATTTGGTACATTTAATATCATAACTTGTGAAAGGTGTTAAAGTTACAAAGAAAATAGACTATTTGGATCTGATTCATTAAAAAAAAAATCCTAAAGGGGTTTATTTTTCAGAGCCAATTGACAACTCATGTAATCCATTGTTTAAAAGCAAAAGTTTGCTTGTAATACACAAATCATTTTACAGGTACAGGTAAAATATTGAATATTCAAAAGGATGATCTTTTAATAAAAAATGTTGGTGTCAGATATTTGTGTAAAAAGAAGAAAAGTATGTATTTTAAAAGATACTTAAGATCTAGCTATATTTTGATACTGCATTTGTTATATGCATTTGAGATGAGATGCTAAGTCTTGTTGCACTTTATAAATTATTTGTTTTGATTTGTAAACAAACTTATTTTATGAATCAAATTGAAAAGCAGTGTTGTTGGGCAGTAACTAGTTACTAGTTACAGTAATAATATTACTTTTTGCAGTAACTTGTAATGTAACTAATTACTAATAAGAGTTCAGTAATAATATTACAGTTATACCATCCATAAAACTGCTCGTTACTTTCGATGCCTCAACCCCTACTGATTTGAAATCTAACAATCCGATAATTCCTAGATTTATTTTCATAATTTTCACAACTTGCACAGGCACAAGAAGTCTGCAGTGCAGCAGGCATATGGAATATAAAAATCTTACATTCAGCAGATGGAAATATTGCCATTACATTGATTTTGTCAGGAGAAAAGATGATCTGAACACCGATGTGTAAGTTGTGGCATTACTTTATACATGGCTTGCTCTGATCCCGATATAAATTGTATAAAATCTTTTTAGAGAATAAAATATTTTCTTATGAACTTATATGATTTCTTTTGATAAAATACATAATGGAATATAGGCTAATCGTATTTGGGCATAACAGAGAAATTATAGCTACAATTAGCTTCAAGCTACACATGACAATTAATGAGATTAATACAACACTTTTACTTAAAAGTTACTATTAATCACCACTGAGTGTTTGTAATAACTTCTGACTGCGATTCGATGTGGATTTTGGTCCAATGATGAGGCAGAAATATATTGTTAGTAGCCTAACATTTTAGAAGAATTTTATGGGGAAGATATGCAACTTATGTGGGCGTGAAAGAAAAGTAATGTAACTAGTAGTGTAACTAATTACTGTTGCCAGAAAGTAATAAGTAATATTACTTTTGAAAGGACTAACTAGTAATGAGTAGCCTAATATATTGCATTTTTGAGTAACTAGCCCAACACTGTTGAAAAGTACGTGAATCAGAAATGTCAACAAATAATTTGACTGTGTAGACCAGGGGTAGGCAACGTCGGTCCTGGAGTGCCGATATTCTGCAGAGTTTAGCTCCAACCCTGAAAAAATCCTCACCTGCCTGTAGCCTCCAAGTAGGTCTCTGCAGGAAAGTAATGGGAGTTACCAGATCGGGGCGTTTTTAGACTATGTTTCCTGATTGGCTGACGTCGTAGTGACGGTACGTTTAGGGGCGGGGTTAGGTAAGGGAGCTCATTTTGATTGCATGATTGAGAAACATCTGCAGTTTGAAAACACCCACAAATTCAGAAACGCCCGCTTTTGCTCTGCAGAGACCTCAATCTCGTAGTTTTAGCAATCTTGAAGACCTTAATTAGCTTGTTCAGGGGTGTTTGATTAGGGTTAGAGCTAAACTCTGCAGGACATCGGCACTCCAGGACCGACGTTGCCTACCCCTGGTGTAGACTGTATAACAGTTCCATCAACACACTTACAAAATAGATGTGGCTTTAACGAAAAATTAAATTTAGAATTGCCAGAAACAGGAAAGGGACTTTGTTTACCATAAATGCAAAAAAATAGGTTCTAAACGACGTTTGTATAAATTGTGATGGTTATACCAAAATGAACATGGGGACACATGAAAAAATTATACACAGACATGTGCCCACATGTGGCTTACTGAAACGTTCATAGCACGCTGGGGAAAACGGGACGACGTAAAAACAGTTGAAACAGTTTTAAACCAGTTAATTGAATCGAATTGTTCGAAAGAACCGATTCGCTTAAATGATTCGGACTTCCCATCACTAGTCTGTGTGCAGATGTCTCATTACGTTACCAGAAACACGCCGTAAAATACGTTATAGAAACGATTTTCCTTAATAACATCGATCAGCGTGAAATATTCGTTTAATACAAAAGTAGTAATGGATAAATGTGACAAAATGATACCGGTGCCGCTAGATGCGGAACTACTGACAGCAGAAATCGAAAAGCATGTTGAGCCTGTCCTTGGATCAGTTCTTTCAAACTAAATTCTGTTTAAACTAGCAGCAGGACTACAGCCACAGAGCTGTTCCCGGATCAGCCATAAACACCCGAGGCTGTAGCACGCACATTGATGATGTCATTCGCCGAGAACAACAGCAGCCTCTCTCTCACAGGGATTCTCAACACAGCTTAGCCGCTTAGTTTACGCTAAAGTGCTGACCAATTCTCTCTAATTAAAACGCTGTTTTGAATTAAGAGCTCAGTCAGACCATAACGATTGTTTGAGTTAAATTATTTCACTGAGCGAACTTTAGAACAAGATATTTCACAGCTATCGCTAAAAGATGTCAGGCCGCGGTGACAAGCTAACGACGCGCTACTAACTTACTGGCTTTGCAAGTTTGTATATTTTGGTTTTGGAAAAATTACACGACTTATTTCTTCCACCAGCCTCTCTGAGCAAAGCGTTACAGTGTGTTTGCCTATAATATTAACTTGACATCTCAGAAATCTGCTAGTATGTTAAAGATAAGTTATCATAAGTGTTTCCACATCGTGTACTAATTTAAGTTAGAAATATATTAATTGCACACTGATTAACTTAGACGTTAAAATGTTTTATTACTGAATACGTTTTATGCGTAAGATGCTTTGTCCTGTTACACATTAAAATGACGTTTAATTTTGGAGAAAATTTTGGGGATTTCTTTCTCGAATTGAATCAGTTACAGTGGTGCCTAAGTTAAATTAATCATTCAGAGCGGATCTTTTAAATACAAATCGCAGACTGCATAACTTGCACACATTAAAATGTTTTAGTACTGCATTTGTTTTATACATTTACTGTTGAGAAGCTCTGTCTTGTTGCACATTAGAAACATTTTGTTTTGAAACGAAATGTTTTTAATAAAATACTTAATCCAGTTCACAAAACCGGTGTGAAAGATTTCCTTCATGAATCGAATTGAATCAATTACAGCGGTTCTTGAGTGCAACTTTCTGACATAAATCGCATAATGAAGAACTTGCAGACAATGTTTACTGTTGAGATGCACATAATAAATGACATTGTGTTTTCTGTAAGGTGCAGTCAAACGTCTCTCAGTGAGAGAGCAAGACAAAAGGATGATCTTAAAGATTTAATCAAGCACTGACAACATGCCTCAACGGAAGAGAGCCCTTGTTCCCATTAATACAAGGAGAAGGGTTAGAGCTGATGAAGATTGCTTCCCTTTCAACTCCCTACCGGTGGAATGTCAGCTCCATGTGCTCTCATTCCTCAGTGAGGTGGACAAATGCAACTCTGCCCTTGTGTGTGCGAGCTGGAGCTGCTTAGTGCGCTCTGGGAAGCTCTGGAGAGTTGCAGACTATTCCCACCGTGGGGTGTTTCATCTGGGCCAGGAGGGTCTGCTCGTTTCCAACAGAGAGTTTGAGCGCTGGAAGGCTTGGGTTCACCATTACACCCATCATCTTATATCCCGTGGGGCTAGTTTGCTCACTCTGAAGGCCAGTTTTGATCTAGGAGACCAGTGCAATAAATGGGTAGAGCTCCTGTCGCACCTTCTAGAGAACGTGCATTGCCGGGATCTCAGTCATTTAGACTTGAACTGGACATTTACCCTGCTGGAACCTCTTGACCTTCGTGTCCACACCAGTTCTAGTTCTCATCAAGACAATATTACCAAGATGGACCACTTTCAGATTCTCCTGGCCAGACTCGTCCACAGCTGTCCCAGGATTACCAAAATGCGCCTGCACTTCGACTGGTCCGAAACATCAGTTGCGCTGATCACTCGGTTTCAACACCTCCGTATCTTAGAATTGAAGTACTTTTGGGTATTCAAAGGGGTCAGTCCGAACACTTTACAGATGCTGACGAAATCGCTGCCTAATCTAAAATCCCTCATGCTCCATGTTCTTGTTCCACTGCGAAATCTAGGCATCTCGTACACCCTTGAATCCCTTTCGCTCGAGTTCCTAGATGTGTCGCCCAGTCGAGGTCTGGTCTTCTCCTGCCTCAACCTCCCAGCGCTACGAGAGCTGCGGGCGAATAAGATCGTTCGGGGCATTACTCTGGACCGCCGGACTCGACTACAGATACAGAGCCGATGGCCCTGCTTGTATCAGGTCTTACATGAAGGGACGCCCAAACTTCAGGCCCTTAACAATGAAAGACTCCTTCCCAACTGGAAAGAGCAAAGTTACAGAGAGCTGACGTCAATCCTCCAGCAGTCTTGCTACTGTCTTCAGCATTTAGACAGTTGGCTTTGGTGAAGTCGAGACTTAAACAATTACAGGCCACACATAACGGCCTAAAGGGACACCACCACATCCTGAAGAAAATTATGTAGGAAAATTAGTATAAATATAATCGGATAACACACTTCTGCTGATCCTCTATAAGTAAAAATATTTAAAGCTGTAATTTAATTATACGTCAGCCACCCCTTGCTAGCAAATAATTGGATTAAGTTCAATATATATCCAGATTCTTAACTATACAATTATGCTTCAAAAGAGTTTCGGCTTGTGTTGTGCTATGAAGGGTTATGTTCCAGGCTGAAGAGTGTGTGCATTTTTTAGGAGCTTAGGTGAATTCAGGAAAATTGTTCTATTGTACAAAGAGGAGGATAAAGCAGATTGTGGCTTGAGTGTGGATCACTTCGACAATAACTTTAATTCCTTATAGCATTTCAGTCCTTGTGTGTTTCAGTAGGAGTCATAAAAAAAACGGGTTTTTGCCATTATTTTGTGTGTATTTTTGTCTTGAACTAGATTTTATTTCAGTGTTTTCAGCTATCCGTGACCAAAAGTTATAACATTCCTGATAATCTATATTTGAGACAGTTAAGATGGCAATTTAATTTTAATCTTTCTTTCATAAACTGGAATTTCAATAGACAGATTTTTTTTTTTTATCAAGCCTAGGATTGGGTATTTTAAGTATTTTTACATAAGTGAAAATTTTGCGTTGCATCTTCATGTTTATCCATATTTTGGGCAAATGTCTTACATAATATAATTAAAAGGACAGTTATTACGTTTAGGAATTTCTAAAGTAATGAGAGTAAAACCTGAACTGCTAAGACATTCTTGACATTTTGAGGTATCAGCTGACCAATGAATAAGCATAGATTGACTGAGATCAGATGCTCAGCATTCATGCTAAGCATTAACATATACCTTAAAGACACACTCTAAAAAATGCTGGGTTAAATACAACCCAGTGCTGGGTAAAATAGGGACAAACCCAGGAATTGGGTTGTTTTGACCCAGCGGTTGGGTTAAATGTTTAACCAACCTTCTGGGTAGTAACCCAACCGCTGGGTCAAAACAACCCAATTGCTGGGTTTGTCCCTATTTTACCCAGCACTGGGTTGTATTTAACCCAGCATTTTTTAGAGTGCATAGTGTGCCTTTAATGACGTTTGTGACCCATGGAGTTTTTTCTTTGATTTTATGAAATTAAAATATTGCCTTTAGCCTCAAACCAATCGACCAATCATGTAATTTATTTTACGTGCACATACGTTGTTTTTTTTCTTTGACTTGCAGCTGCATTTCCTAGTAAACAACCCAAAGGGTGAAAATATGATTTGAATGCAATATCTCAAGCTCATCCACAGGATGGCACCATTTTCTTTTCTAGCTGTTGTGTTTCTTTCTTGCCATCCCTAAAAGCAGCAGTCTGCAGTGGTGCCGTGATAAATGAATTCTGTGCACAGGCTGGAATTGAAACAGCTAAAATAAATTGATATGATTTTACTTAATATGTGTGCCGTTTTGTTTGTTTTTAAAAATTCATTTTTTTTTAATTCAAAACTTTGTGCTACAAAATGGTCCACTGTCACTTTCGGTTCCTTCCCATCAGTGTTAACATATAAATGCTATTTTTGTAAGTTCACTTTAAGATAATTCTGAATTGTTATTTAGTCGACTTCAGTCTGTTTCAAATAGGCAGATTTAAACCAAAATGGTTTGATTTCCAACATCATGTAGATTTTAAAGGACAGCAGTCTTTTTATATTCTGAATAGGGTGAAAGTTTTAATAGTCTTATCTATTTTTATTATAAATGGCTAAGAGATTTGGTTTTGAGATTTGCCAAAGAGTACAGTTAAGTGTTATTAAATTATTATATATCTATGTCTATAAAAAGTAGATTCCACAGGACCAAATACGACCAAACAGTACTTTTCTTAAAAAGTTTAGAATAAAACTGAAAGGAGGGGAAAGTAGGGACATCTTAAAAAATATTAAGCATGAGAGTCCCCTCCTCTAACTCTAAAGAAAACACACTACAAGTTTCACACAAAGACATACTGATATAGAAGTAGAAAAGTCTCAGAAACCAGTCAATTAATGTTTTTTTTTTGTTTTTGTTTTTTGGTGTCATCAGAGGATTCTGGAAACGTTTCTGGGCAGCAAGAAGGTCCCAAACAGCTGGATGTCTCATCACTGAGGTCTGAAGGTCTCTGGCAGAACATAAGGACTCAAGGATATCAGCTTGGGTCCGTTGATTACTAAAAATGTACTTTAACATCTGATGAATCTCTTTTTTCAGCATCAAAGCTCTCTTTTGTGTGTGTTTTTTCTCTGACCATTAACTACTTGATAGATATTAAAACTGATTCCAGATGTGGGGCAAAGTGTGACGGGACACAGTACGTGAAATACCATCATATTTGTTTGTTTCTGGCTCATCCAGGCTGGTTAATGTATAATCTCGAAATGCGTGGTCTCTTCTAGGCGTGGTATAGGTGCTTGACGCCTTTAGCAGTACATATATTGTGAAGGTCTGCGAGAGGGTACAGAGTCTAATAACATAGAGCAGGTTCGCCTAGCTCAATTCATTCTTGGAGGTTTCTCAGAAGGATCCGAAATGGCCAAAGGAACTGGCATGTCCAAGGCCTTGGCTGTCGGCGTTGGGGTCCTCACAGTTTCTTCTGTTTGTGGTTTAGTGATGATGGCTGTGATGTACAAAATTCAAATAGATAAATTCCCTCCGGTGAGTCCACCGACTCCAACTAAACCTCCGGTTATTCCAACAGGACTTCCACCGACTCTCAGACTTCCTGACAATTTGATTCCTGAGAGCTACAAAGTCTTAATTCAACCGTACCTTTACGCAGTGATACCTAATAACTACACAAACCAATCCTTTGCTTTCACGGGAGAGTCAACTGTAAGAGTAAAGTGTATGATAGTCTCCAAGAGCATCTTTCTTCACGCTCAGGACCTAAATGTGACAACCGTGGAAGTGAGAAAATCTGATTCAGATGAGAAATTACCAGTGAGTGGATATAAAATTCATCACAATGAAACTAATTTCCTCGAGATCCAACTCAAGGATGCAATGTCTGGAAATGAGACCTACTATGATATTATCACCAAATTCGAAGGGGAACTTTTTGACTGCTTGGATGGGTTTTATGTGAGCGGGTACACAGAGAAGGTAAAAGCCGAGGAAGAGGAGGAGGAAGACGAGGATCAAGAGAGGTAAAGACTCCTAATATTAGGAAATCTAGTTGCTTTTAATAAAAACATATTTATTAACTAGTATAATGTATTTTTTATTTCATTTATATTTTACTTTTATATTTTTGTCTTTCAAAATATGTTTTCAGTTCAGTTAAAAACACCCATAGGAACTTCACTGACACCTCATATATTTGCATGTATTTGGCTTCACAAATAGTTTTTCAAATTTATTCTCTAAAGTTTTTCTTTATCATATTCACCATGGATCTCTGTCCAAGAAACGGTTTATTGTAAGAAGCCTTCAGAGATTTTTGTTGCTCGTTTCATCACTTAGTTGTTGTTTTTACAAATGGATATCACGTTTTATGACAAACAACATAAATCCAGAACATTTGAATTCAATTACTATTGTTCATTTATATTTACTGTTTTGCATAAAAATGTCTCCACAAACAGTTTCCTCCTGAGATTTGTGTTGCACATTTCTTCTCTAAAACGATCAAATCCTCACTTCGCTGTTGTTTTTACATGTGGATATCACACAATTCTTTATGACAAATAACATGAATCCAGACAATTAAACTGAATTACTGTTGTTCATTTTTATTTGCTTATGTTTTGCATAAAAATGTCTCCGCAAACAGATTATTCGCCACCAGTCTGCTGCAACCCACAAATGCCAGGAAAGTGTTTCCGTGCTTTGATGAGCCAGCGCTGAAGGCTGTGTTTCAAATTACTATTATCCACAGACCCCACACTGTTGCCCTGTCCAATGGAATAGGAGGTTAGGATCCTTACTAGTTATTATTAGACTTGATCATGTCACAATCTCACTGTTCTGATAATAATGAAAGATGATTTCATATAGATATTTCGTCCTCCTGTCTATAGAGATAACAATACATATCAGAGCAGCAAACAGCAGCGGGCTCAACACCTGCAAAGGACGTAAACTAAAAAAATCAAGGTATTTGTGTACAGTACATAACTTCTATTTTTGTTTTATCATTAGAGGCACATCAGACAGAAATAGATGGAGAAGAATGGATTATGACTACATTTAAAGAGACCCCCATCATGTCAACTTATTCATTGGCCTTCACTGTATCTGATTTTAAATCTAAAACGAGACATTCCGGTACAAAAATAAATGTATGTTTCTTTATTTTTAATTGAAGGCACTTGAGTGCCTGCTTATTTATTTATTTATTTTGAACATTTCACAAATAATGAATATGTATTTCCAAGATACATGCTCGGGGGGATGCTATTTATGCTGGCCATGCTGACTACGCACTTGAAGTTACAGAGAAGATTCTGATTCGCTATCAGGATATATTTGGATTGAAATACCCACTAACAAAAATAGGTGAGTCAATGGAGAAGAACCCCACTCACTATTTCAATGTGGATTAATTTAATTCTTGCATTAATACATGTGGTTGGAGTTTAACATGTATTTAAATTATAGTTCAGCCAAAAATTAAAATAATTTATTCATCCTCATATTGTTCCAAACCTGTATGGTTTCATTTTTTAGGGAATACATTTTTTTTTTAATTCTTAGTATTTTTATATCCATATACTGTAAGTTAAATGGAGTCCAAGGTTGTTTCAGAAATGAAAAAAAAAAGTAATTCGGGTTTGGAACAACACGAAGTGTCAGTAAATGACAGAATTTTCATTTTTGTGTGAACTGTCCTAAATTGAACAGGTACAAGCTAAAACGAGAGCATACAAACTCAAGCTTCACAAGAAAAATTTGTTTTATTACAGACCAGATTGCTTTGCCAGACATCAGTGTTGGAGCAATGGAAAACTGGGGTTTCATTTCATATCAGGAGTCAGGTCTGCTGTATGATAAATATACAGCATCGACCTTTGATCAAGAACGGGTGGCCACTCTGATTGCTCGTGAATTAGCACATCAGGTAAACAGTCAAATATTAATGATAATGTATTATTCATCACTGACTAAAGGTTACATTAAGCTAGATATTTCAGTGAATGTCATTGTTAACCTAGATGTGCAGTAATTGAAACCTTACAAAAAATCAGATGTACATTGTCTGGATGTTACGGTGGTATTGATTAAGTGGTAAATTAACACAGGTTTTCTTTTTTTAATACATTTTTTATTAAGTGTTACAGAAAATAGTTATAACAGACATACATCAATAGGAATAAAGTGCAACACACTAAATTTTCCTAATTTTAAATGCCATCCCACCCACCCACAGCGACCATCAAAAAAAAACAAAAAACTTTCCACTCCCTCTGCATCACATTAGGTACAATCACAAATAGTCTATAACAAAAATAATTACATAAACTTCACAAGGCAAATACAGTGTAAAGACATTTAAAACATGTCACTTTAACAAGTCCTTAGTTTTAGATATTGCCCTTATCCAAGCTGAAATCGTTTTTTGAGTGGCACCGTGCATCCTAGCCACTGATAGCTCCATGTTTGCAGTGTCCAGGAAGGGAATACCTCCAGTGTGACCAAGCTAAAGAGTGTGGAGGTTGCCAACGTAAGGCAAGCATTTTCTTAGCTGCAGTTAATCCAGAGAATAACCATTTGTTCTGAGACAGAGAGAAACTGAAAGATGAGTCATCATTTAAAAGCAAAGGCTTAGGACAGCATGATATATCGACTTCCAGTATGTCCTTCAGAGTCGTAGATACCTGTTTCCCGAAATGATTAACTTCAGGGCAATCCCAAAACTACGTCTATAGGTGCCTATAGAGTTTCCTGCGCAGAAATTACAATTGGAAGATGAAGAAAGCTTCATTAAATATTGTTTCCTAGGAGTGAGATACATCCTATGAACCATTTTGTATAGTTGATGATTAGGATTTTTTGAAACAAGTTTAAGATTGGCCCATATTGAATCATCAAAAGATATCGTCAATGCTGTCTTCTGTATCCGTATCATATAAATCTCTATACCAGATGTCCAAAATTGGTAACTGTTTATAGGACTGGCTTCTAAAAACAACAAATACAATGAAGATACTATACCATTCGTAAATTAGCACAGTTTGACAAATTCTATTTCATGCTGAAGTGTGAATAAAAAAAATGACCATAGCTCCATCAAAAAATCCCCAATAAATAACATGACATTTTAACTGCCCATGTACATAATAAAATAGTAAGAAAATATATAGGGAACTTTTTCTTTTCATTTTGATTAGCCTGTTTATTTTGCTATTATTTAGTTAATTGTATTTTATTTTTTGCCTTCTGCAGTGTATTTTCTTTGCTGTAAATCTACTGAACAGTTTTTACATAGATCATCCGCTAGCTGTTAAGAGCCCATAAATCTTTAGCAAAATCATCTTTACATTTCATACCTGTGCTTAATTTCAGTGGTTTGGAAACCTTGTTACCATGCATTGGTGGAATGACCTATGGCTGAATGAAGGATTTGCCACATACATGTCATACATTGGGGTGCAAGCTGATGGCTGGGACTTAGTATGTTTTTGTTTATTTTAGAATAATGATTTTAACAATACACCCTGGTGAATTCTTCATTTTTTTCACTTGTTGACTTCTACAATCTGACCATAAATTCATTAAATTAAAGCTTGCATCCTCCAACCTCCTCTGATGATATGATTAATTTGTGTTTTCAGAGAGATCTAATTGTTCTCAGAGAAACCCAGACTGCCTTTCAAGTGGATTCCTTAAACTCTTCCCATCCTCTCAGTTTGCAGGAAAATGATATTCAAACTTTCTCTGAGATCACAGAACTTTTTGATGACATCACCTACAGCAAGGTTGGCATCAGTATACATTTGGGATGTTGATAAGCTTAATTAACAAAAATGTTACAATACAATATCGCACAATATTATAATGTATAAAACAATCCTTTAGGATTATAAGAAACTTTCAAGCTCTGTACATGTTTTAGGGTGCTGCTGTGTTGAGAATGCTGGCCACATTCATGACAGAGGACGCATTTATGAAAGGAATCAAGGTAAGCCAAAATGGGGAAAAATGTATATATAATAATTAATATTTTTAAAATATATATAATGTTGAAATAGCTTATTTTAATCCCCAACTCAACTATATCATATATACATATTTTATATATATTATAAAACCATATTAATAACCATATTTAAAAAATGTATTTTTTTAAACTTA